TCAGGTTGGATAGATATATTAAAATATTGCAAAAGGGACAATTGCTCACGCCTCAGATAAAGTGATGGTTCGTTAGAGTCAACATATAGGCTCTGGACAGGAGAAGTCCTGAAAGCTCCTGAACAAATCCGCAGACCTTGATGGTGAACAGGATCCAGTTTTAACAAAACAGATGACCGAGCGGATCCATAAACAACTGAGCCATAGTCCAGTCTAGAGCGGATAAGCGCTCTGTAAATGCGAAGCATGGAGCAACGCTCTGCACCCCAGGAGGTGTTCGCCAACACTTTTAAAATATTTAGTGTTTTTAGACACTTCTTTCTCAGGTTTAAAACATGAGAAAGGAAAGTCAATTTTCGGTCGAACGTCACTCCTAAAAATTCTACTTCAGGCGCAAGTGGAATAATTGTACCATTCAGATATAACTCAGGTTCAGGATGGAGACCACGCTTCCTACAAAAGTGCACGCACACAGTTTTCTGTTTTCGAAAAGTAAATCCCTGTTTGTCGGACCATTCTTGGATCTTATTCAGAGCCATCTGCATTTGCCTCTCTACATATCTCATGTCAGCCCCTCGACAGCTAATCTGTAAATCATCTACATATAGAGATCTCAAGATGGTGGGAGGAAGTTCTTTTAATTCAGAATTTATTTTTAAACTAAACAGGGTTACACTAAGCACACAGCCTTGAGGCACACCCTCTTCCTGTTCAAAAACATCCGAAAAAACAGAGCCAATTCCTTACTTGAAAAGTTCTAGTGTTCAAGAAATTCTGAATGAAAATTGGTAGGTTGCCGCGCAAGCCACTCTCGTGAAGATTCCAAGTGTCAGTCTTCTGAAGCGACATAACAAGAAAAACTACGGGAATTATTTGCATTGTACTATTTTTTAGCAGTAGATTTTTCACAACTAGAACTTTGAGCGACTTGAGTGACTTTGAAGTCTTTAATTAGGTAAATGCGTGAGTTAGCTATATTGAAAAAAAAAGATTCGGGTCCGACGGCCCCGCCCACCACAGAGCTCAACAAGGGAACACAGATTCCTGTGTTAGAGGTAGCCAGAACTATACGCAAACTGAAGCCCCACAGTCGGCTTTCCTGAAAGCAGGTACTCCCGAGAGCCTATCCGCAAGCCACTGACGCAAGGACTAGTGACCAGCCGATCGACACCCGTGAGGACGACTAAGGTGCCTTCCGTTTAGCTAAAGCAGAGGCCAAAGCAGTGTGTTGGGGACAGTACCTCGCCCCTCAACTACCAGGACCCTCCTTTCCAGCGACACGGGTCTCCACGCACGGCAAACACGTGGGCAGTTTTCTCGCCACTCGAAAACTAGAGACAAGGGCTGTTCCAGTCTCTCATGACGAGCCCCAAACTCCAAAGAGAGAAACCACAAGGAAGAAGAGAAGGGAAAAAGTTCCGGCCAAGAGGATAGATCACTGGGGCTCCAGGATCGTGACACCCGTCTCACCAAGAAGATTATCCCCAAAAGGGCTATGGTACCTCGAGATTGCCACACCGTACTCACAAAAGTGAGCCCCTGAGGGGCTGGAAGTCCAGGCTTTGAATCCCAATAAGGCCACTACATGATTTAAATAGGCTGCCTTTAAAAAAAAAATCCAAAAATTGCCCTACAGAAGCACCAACTAAAATGTAACGGATGATAATTCATCATTCTCAGGATTTGGCAGCTAGGTTTACCCCATACCTTCATGGTGTAATTGGAACACACATTTTTATTTGCTTTATTTGTGTTGTAGCAGCTACTTTTTTATTGCTAGCTATTTTCACATGAGTAGATTTACATACATTTTCAAAAATACTGACAGTTTGCAAATCTTCCTTGTAAGCAGCATATTGAAAGTATAGTATATATATATGTTAAAGTGCTAATGTATTTACTTAATATTTTAATTTTTTTAAAATCTTGTAACTCATATCAACATCTTAAAAACATTAAAAATCTAAAAGCATGAAGTTTCTAGATAAATAACACTTATATCAGTGGTCTTAAACCTTTTCTTTCCCATTCCCTTTTCTCACAATATAAAAGAATGTTATCCTGGCATTTTGGTACTATCGCAACCACCTCAATAGAAGTCACCAAACTCTGGCAAGCATGCCACAACAGCTCTTTAGGAAACTATATCCACTGTGAAAATTCACTGAATCAACTTTATTTCTGCAAAAAATCGCCAAACTGTGCCAAGGTGGTTGCACTAACACTTACATACTGTCATTTCTTCTCAGGTTTTTTCGTATCCCCTTTTTGTGAAATAGTCTGACCCAAATGCAATGTAAAGTTGAAAACTGAAAAAAGTTTATTTCAGTATATCATTAAAATACATTTAAGTTTCATGTTTAAAACGATAAGCACCATTTGTATCCAAATACACATAATGTATATTAACCAAACAGGCCAACTTGCATCAATTTGGATACAATGACATGCATTCAGATTTGGCCATGTGTATTCTTAAAAAAAAAAAAAAAAAAAAAAAAAAAAATTCTATGTACAATTAAATGAAGCAATGGTTTTAGGTGGACCAGTGGTACATAAAACTATGGTGGACAAAACAGAGCTTTTGTTGACCTCATGTATTTAAATGAATAAAAAGTAATTATAGTCTAAGCAAAAATTTAAATACAATAATATGTTTTATAAATGTATTACGTGACAATGGAGAATAATTATAATATGTTAATACAGTCAAATACTGAAAATCCGCCGACCTGAAATCCGCGTTGCCTCTCAAAATATAAACATTCAGTTTATAGGTTCCGGAAACCGCAACATTGAGTACGAAATGTCGAAGAAAAAATACTTACCAAATAATGATGTCATAATTACCAAATAATAATGAGTAATAATGGAAATACCAAATTATTGACATCATGATAAAAGTTTTCTTCCCTTTAATCTGCATCGAGGTAAAAAAGCAGACGATTCACTAAACTCTTCTCTCAAATTCACGTTTCACATATTTTCTGAGCTTTGTTATTTCACAAGATTATTTAGTGATGCCTTTATTTTTATCCGGATATTTTGTGGATAAATTGAGAATATTTTAAATTCCAGCCCTTTTTTAATACAATGACAGATAAGAAATGCACTCATAATTTTACTGCTTGCAATGGTGAAAAACGTAAACAAGGTTGCATTGACGGTAATGAAAAAAGTGCAAATTCTGTAAAAGATGGAGGCAAGTTCCACTCCTCGGTTTATAGCAGAATTGTATGGAATTGAAACACGATTGTGTATGACATATGGAAAAATAAAGAAAAGCTGTTGAAATTTTACAGCAACAGTGATACTAACACCAGAATCCCAAACCGGAACTCTTTGCATTAAGTGAAATCGGCAAACCTGGATGCTGTGTACATGAAATACAATGAATAATATAATCAATTTACATATGTAATAATAATTTAAAGCATATAATAAATTATTGCAATAATGTATATAATAATTTAATTAAATGTATCTAATACGCATTATTTATTTTGCACTTTGAGTCTGAATATTATGACTTTTGTGTCCTAAAATCCGCAAAATCCTAAAATCTGCACAACATCTGGTCCCAAGCTTTGTGGATTTCTGGACTTCTACTATAAAAAAAATAATAGCAGCCAACAACTTTTTTTTTTATACTGTGGCACTCAAATGTGTTAATAAATATGTTATTCATATTAATATATAAATTAATTACAGAAAAGGAAACATTAGAATTCAATTTCTACATTAAAATTCAAGTACACTAATCCTTCATAAACCATGGTTTTGATTATTTCTGATGAAGAAAAAACTAAAATATATTATGAAACGTTATGCTAAAATCTTGCATATTCCCCCACTCCCCAGTCTTAAAATTTTGTATAATTTGTTGGTATTCACATGCTTAGAATTTTATTTTCATATTTTAATCCCTTACATGTGTACTTATTTTTTACCATTACTCTTTCATTTTAAAGATGAAAACTGCAAGATAAGAGAGTATAATTTTTTAATTGGGGGGGGGGGAAACTTGCTTGGGCATTAATTTTGCATAATACTCTATTGGTTTCCAAGGAAATCAAACACAGGGCACTCTTCTTCAGGAGCAAAGAATTTTTGCAAAATGGGAGATGCAATGACTATTTTTATACCGAAAATGAAAGACTGCAAATTGAGCACAAACATAGCATCACCTGTTGAGAAGAATAGTAATAAAACACATTTCTCTTCAATTTGAAGGGTGGGTGATTTAATCCATGTTTAAGGATTATGCATGTAATGGATAATGGTGCATAAAAGAGTTTACACTACTAGTCTAAATAAAGAAAAAAATTTTAAGAGGATAAAATGGGGTAGAAGATGTTAAGCAAGATTTCCCAATAAAAACTTTTTTAAGTGAATTTTTTTTTTTTTTTTTTCCTTTGGCAGGACAATTAACTGATCATTTATTGAGTTGGGTCCTCTCAATGAAAAGAAACTGAAGATCAAAAGAGGCATTCAGAATTTACTAAAGTTCCAAGAAGCATTACACAGTGGCTTTGGGGGCGAACAAACAAAACAAAATAAATAATATACATTATATCACTTTTTTAATGGCCTATATATTACATTTTATTAAATTAATTTTCCATATTAAATTCAATTAATATTCTTTAACAAATCTTTTCTGTCTATTATTATTATTTTAAATGAAACTATTCAAATTCAGCATGAATGGCTAATACTGCACTGAACTGAGCATTTTGTTATATCCTCATAGTTATTACCTGTGCCTTCATACTCTGCCAACTTGTACTGCTACTATTTCAAATGAAATTATTTGAATTCTGCATAGATGGCTAATATTTCACTGAATTCAATATTTCGAAATCATCATAGTCTTATTATCCATGTTTCTGGTATCTGAAGAACACTCGAAGTATCTAACTGTTGCATATAATGAGAGATTACTATACTCTCAAGTTTCTCAGTTTCATTTTAAAACAAACTTGGGAAGATATACTCACACCATCTAGAGATGAAGAATCAGGTTTCTCATACTTAATCAACCAGTTATCATTTCCACGATCTAAAGAAACAAAATTCTGTCACACACGAAAATCTTCATAACTTGACATATTAATTAAACAGATTACAAAAAGGAATTATCTTCCATACAATTTTTGACTGTTAGATCAATTGATTCCCACTATTAAAACAACTTGGTTATTTATGAGGAATATATATGTAACCTTTATTTTTCAGCTGTTACAGACATTTTTATACTTGGAATTACAATATTTTTACCATTTCAATTACAAAAAATGTTTCAGTTACGTAAATGTTCATATTTTGGCATTTTTAAATTTAAAAAAAATCAATTTTATAAAAATTACAAAATTTGACTTTTTATGCTGAAATTTAATCTTTAGCCCTGATCCTTAGTAATATTTAGCAATATTTTATAACTCATTATATAAAATAAAACAGAAAAGCTTTGACTCCCATATGACAAAGTTTGACTGAGATATTTAATCTCAAAATTTGGCATTTTGACATCATTTTCAACTTGCCTTGAAAGGCACAGATAAATTAGAAAAATTCAAAGTTGACTTTTCCCCATAAATATCCTTTACTAACATTCTTTTGGGATTTACAAGCATGTGGCTTTTCATTAAAATAACAATTTTAATACAAATGGTATGACAAAAGATTTTTCACACAAGTAATTTATAAGTTTTCAAACACTAAAAATATTTCATTAATACTTGGTATTTTCTGATTATATGTACCTCTGGTGAAAAGTCATAAAAAGGTGTTCATTAGGCAAAGCAGTATGTCACCTAAATACCTATGCAACGTATTTATGTGGCAACCCAGTATACGTCTACAGAGCATGTCTGTTTTGACCGGCATACAATGCACAAGTTGTATGGAGCAGAGTTTGTGCAGTTGTTGTTTAAGTGAAGACAAACTGCTGTGTACATCAGGAACTAACAGCATAAAAAGGGAGATTTCTTGAAAACATAAGGGCTTTATTGGTGATATTTCTTGTTTTTTTTAATTTTCTTGACTAACTGCTCTGGTATAGATGTTTTATATAGCAGCCATTTTGAAAATGGCTCTCCCTTTTTGTGCCTTAGCTTGGTGAAAGATTAATCAGCAATGCGTTCATATATGATGTTCAAAGTCACCAACAAGTTCATGACTTACAGTAGGAGGAGTGGATAATCAGATAGTACCATTAGTTTAGAATTTTAATCAAATAAACATACAAAAAACTTTAAAAAAATGAAAGTTAAATTAAAAAAGAAATATTTTTCATTCTTAATCTGTTTAAATAATGCTATCAGTTTGCTATCTGCTAATACAGTCAAAAGTCGTTAATTCGGACACCCATAATCCGGACCCCAAAGCTAAAATCTTTCGCGCATGCGCCGCGTTGACGCATGCGCATAGGCGTTTTACGCTCACGCAAGACATTTACGACTGCGCATATGTGTCTGCGCAAGCGCAGATAGTTTTCGCGTGCGCGTTTAATGTAAACGGACGGTATAAGCTAAAATTATATAATTATCTATTTCAGTTAATGTTCAGATTGCGTTGTTCCTTAATCTTCGAATTGGATCCGGCTTATTATTTTTGCAGACTGTAGAGCAATTTTATAAAAGTAAACTTGAACTTTCGATGATTGTAAATAGATTTCCGATGGCTGGAGCTCCCAAAGGATCTAGAAAAAAAAGTATGCTTCGATGTCCATCAAACAAAAACGAATTGCTATAAAAAATGGATAAAAGCATATCCTTTGTTTATCTAACCGTTCCGACATCTGTTTATCAATTTCACGCTGCTGCGCGTGGGGGGGGGGGACGTCGCGGCGCGCTATGAACTGGAAGTTGATCTGTCAGCACTATGTTTATCTTTAGGGCAGATGTTTTTTATTTTATTCGGCTTATAATTCCTTATTAAATGTAGTATTTAATCTCGATGTACTCTGTCTTTGATATGATTTAAATCAAATTTCTCGTCATTATAATATCACGAATACAAATCAAATAGTTTTCTGGTTGCAATTTTGTAATTCCGCTATGCGTTAGGTATGCTTTACGCATAGGCGCGTTTAAAAGAAATGTTTAATAAAGTAAACAAATAAATATTAAGCTTATTTTTTTGTAAATTTTGATACCCTTTAGATCATAATTGCTCATTATTTTATAAATTACGCTTTCATATTTTTAATTTTATAATTTCTGCATGCCATCTTACCAGATTTAAACTTATGATCTATAATCCGGAAAAATCGATAATTCGGAATCGTCGAAGTCCCGACGAGTCCGGATTAAAGACTTTTGACTGTACTGAAGCCTGGCAGTGTTTTCTAGAACATAAATTTTAAACAATTCTGTGAATACTAGCCCACTCTGTAACAAAAATTATATTAATTAATACTTTTCATTACAAGTATGCATAGAAAAGCCCATTTAATCTATTAAAATTAGAAACCTTTTTCTATTCCTTTTTTTACTTTTAATTATGTACAAATGCAAACATTTTGGTGTACAGTTTTTGTATGGCTCCTGAATATGATTTCAGACTTTAAAATCAAATGTCTCATTCAATTTACATCTTATGGGAGACATTCTTTTCTACTTCTTTACTTTTTATAAAGAGTAAAATTTTCCTAAATATAGGAGGACCATATAAAAAGTTAAGATTTCATAACTTTTATAAAATTTAGAAATGCCAAAAACGAAAATGTGTAGAATTTATAACATTTTTATAACTGAAAGCACATGTTTATGACCAATGGTTGCAAAAACAAAGGCCGCAAAAACATTTTTGTGGAAATGGTGCATATAAGGAATGCAGTTGCACATTTCTGTTTACATACATGAGTAATCTCAGATTATTTTATACTTTAGTTATGAAACAGTGCAATTTATTAAAAAATAGTGAAGTTCTCAGTGCTGAAAATCCGTTAGGAAATAAAAAGTACATAAATCACTTGAACTAAAATATGAGATATGATCGTACTTTTAAATGAACTGGTTTTAGAGTGCTCATGGCATGTAACAAGTGTTATCAAATTATGTAAATGTGACCTTTTTAAGGAATACACACACCAGGATGACATGTCAAATAAGCACTTCTTTTTTTATGGATATTTTCAGCATAGTGGAAATTTAAAAATCCAGATTAACTCACTAAATGAATCTGCTAGCCTCAATCTTTTAGATAAAAAATAAGTCTTAAGGACTATGTTTTTAATGCATATATTACGTAAGGCATATAATACTACAAATTAAGGGGCTAACCATCTCCTTATCAGCAAAAATACTAGGGTTGTGACTATTAAAATAATTAACAAGCCATGCATGCAATAATGCTTAACAGATTTTCATTTTATCAGCAATCTACAACTCTAAAAGTATCAAAATATAATCTCAGTAATGAATGCAAACAGACTGATTAGACCTGCATATACACTAGAACTAACAACAATTACACAGTTCTACTAAGACGGGAAGAACAATCGTGTAGTCTAGTTCATAGTTCTATTGTAAAAAATATTTTTAAATAAATCACAAATACAGTATTAGAAAAACTGAATATACATAAAAAAACATGAAATTTTAAAAAAGGCCCATACCACATCTAATTGTCAGTCATGAATTTCATAACCCAATCTCAACACATACAAGATGACAACCATAGAGAATGCAATAAGATGTAAGAACATAAATTGCCCTGCCCGCCCCCACATACAAGCGCATTAAATACAGCCATCTCATAAACAGATGGAAGCTTTTCACTGCTGAGATAAGTATTTCGGTTGCAGATTTAACAGGAAACCCACATAATTTTCAAGCCTGCTGACAGTTTTAAAAATATCCACAAAAAAAAAAAAAAAAAAATGTTACAACTTTCCTAGAATTACAAAATTTTCAAAAAAAAAAAAAAAAAAAAAAAAAATTGTACAAAATGTGAAAATAAAGAAAAGAAACAATACAGTCAAAAGTCATTAATTCGGACACCCATAATCCGGACTTCAAAGCTAAAAACTTTCTGCGCATGCGCCGCATTGACACATGCGCATAGGCGTTTACGCGTGCGCATAAGACCTTTACGACTGCGCATATGAGTGTGCGCAAGTGCAGAATACGTTTTCGTGTGCGCGTTTTATGTATAACGGAGGGTATAAGCTAAAATTATCTAATTATCTATTTCAGTTAATGTTGTTGATAATTGCGTTGTTCCTTAATCTTCGAATTGGATCCGGCTTATTATTTTTTTGCAGACAGTAAGAGCAATTTTATAAAAGTAAACTTGAACTTTCGATTATGTCAAATAGAATTTCCGATGCTGGAGCTCCCAAAGGATCTACAAAACGAAAGTATGTTTCGATGTCCATCAAACAAAAAGTGGAATTGCTGCAAAAAATGGATAAAGACATGAAGAAGGTGACAGAGAGGTTAGTGAAAACGAAAAAATTTCGATTGACAAGTTAGTCGGTATTCTCGGCACAGCAATTATAGGACTTGAACAGCGGAACTTTGTAACTGAACAAGAAATTATGTCTGTTTATAGAATTAAAGAGGAAGTATTATGACATAAAACAAAGCAAATTAAACAACTTACATTGAAAGAAATGTTTAATAAAGTAAACAAATAAATATTAAGCTTTTTTTTTTTTTGTAAATTTTGATACCCTTTAGATCATAATTGTTCTTTATTTCATAAATTACGGTTTCATATTTTTAATTTTAGAATTTCTGCATGCCATCTTACGAGATTTAAACTGATGATCTATAATCCGGAATCGCCGAAATCCCGACGAGTCCAAATTAACGACTTTTGACTGTATACTTTTATGTCTCAGAAACTAATAATTTTCCTTTTTTACATAATATCATTTTTTCCCCTAGCAAAGAATGTTTTTGCATACGGTGGATGATTTTTAAAGAAAGAAAAATTTTAAATAAACATTACACTTAAAAATATATCTCGGAATAAAACCAGACACATTCTTTAAATTAAAACTGCTATTACAGTAGCAAGGAAAAACTTACTTCAGAAACTTCCCACCTGCTACTTATGAAGTAAGGAATATGAAATACATTTCCTTTTCTAAAATCATTTTCTACACCTTAACATGATTTTTTACTCAAATAGATAGATTGATAAAAAGACAGAAATCATTTAGTACACCTTAACATGATTTTTTACTCTAATAGAAAGATATATAAAAAGATGGAGAAATACCTGTATTTCTAATAATATAGTCCAAAACAACCAGTCGCTCAAATTGTAGTTGAAACTGTCTTTGCAAATCTTCTGGTAAGGGATCTGATTCAAATTTTTTAAGCCAATAATCAGCATCTTTATATCCATCAACAAACAGTTGAAAAGAACCAACCTGCAAAACAATAATAATTAAATACTATTAAATGTATATTTATTGTAATTTTAAAAATGTAAATTCTTAACAACACTCATGCCACTGTATTGCTAAAAGAAATAAAAATTAATTTAAATAAATTGTAGTGACAGCCTGTGTATTATGCAGAACCATGCAGTGCAAATACATATTTTCTGAATGCAAAAATTTTGCTATTAAGGGAAAAATCTGATGTGTACACTACATGACTTCCTTGTACAAAATATTAAATTATATGCATTTTTCCCTGCATTTCATTTAAACTTATTTCCCCGAATTTCATTAGAGATATATTTTTCATTCAAATAATTCAGTTCTCACTTTGCAGCAAGGCAAAAATACATAAAACCTCAAAATATCTTTATTAAAAATAGAAGAATATAAAGCACCAAATACAGTTAAAACAATTTTTACAACAAATCAGAGTTTCTACACAAAAACAAGCAATTTGGCGAGGGTGCAAGTAGATAGATTTTTTGGGGGCACAAAACTAAAAGTTTCGTTTTGGTCCCACTCGCCAAAAAGACACTGAAAGAGCAAAAAGACTTAATTGACTGTTTTGCTAAGTTTCAAATGTAAATAAATATGGCTGCTATGGTAAAATAAATTAGGCTTAGCTTCACTTAAAGAACTTTTAAATTGTTGATAATTCTAAAACTATTGCATGCAGATTAACTAAAGGCATAAAAACCTTAACAGGATGATAAGAATAACATAATTCAATTATTTTTAAAGAAAACATGCACAATATACTAACATAGGAATAAAAAATTATAGGAATAAAAAAATAGGAATAAAAATAACTGAGACATATAGGAATTAAAAAAACTGAGCTCATTGAGCCGAGTAACAGAGTGCTCACTCTATGTATACATACATATATTTTTGGTGAGTATATGTATATTACATACATACATACATATACTTTTGGTGCAGCCGATTGCAACCAAAATCAGAGGTGCACAACTACATGTTATAGCAGTCCTATATACAAAATTTCAACGTCCTGAGGCTACTCATTTTTGAGTTATGTGGGATACATGCATACGTACGTACAGACGCCATGAAAAAATCTCTTTTGAATCCATTATAAATCAGTTTTATAATTCTTTTGGGGGAAAAAGAGTCCTTTTTTCTGTCCTTACGTACAGATGTCATGCAAAAACATTTTTAAATTGCATTCAATAGTGGTCAAAATGGATATTTTCTTTGAAATATGATACATGGAATTTTTCATTACATATCCTTTACTTCGTACAAGGAAGTAAAAAGGGAGGGAAAGGACTTTTTGTGGTATAATGGGATAGGACTGCTTTAATTGTAATGTTCCGAGTTTCATTCACAATGTAAAATTAGGAAGGGAAAACATATAATCATCAAACAATTACTCTGAAAAAAAAATATAAAATGTCACTGTCAAATACTCCTTTCAAAATATGCAATCCTTGTCTTTTTGGTCATAAGCACATTAAAAAAATATAACATTTCTTTCAATGTAAGCAGTCATCAATTATAAGATAGAACCTTCAATTTCGCTTCCCTCCCTAAAAATTTCTCACAAAATTAAACTAATAAAATTCTAATATATATATAACATACATTTGTATGGTAAAGAAATTTTATTTACTTCTAATACCATTACGAGAAAGTATGTTTCTGAGTCATTAATACCTGCATATCAATATCAGGTTAGTTCTTATATTATCTACCCCATCACATACTATTTTCCAAGTCATGAAGAGAAACACAGGCACACTACTTTTTAAAAATTAAATGCAGCACTACTTTTTATGGAATTAACCTTTAAGTTCTTAATAACAATACGGCCAATTCTGTAGTACCAGAGGGAGGTGCAATAGTCACGGTAAGTCAATAGTCAGGATCCACATTCTTAAGTAATCATTAAATGGGATGTTGAACGCAGTGTGAAACTTCTGCATAAAAACAAATCACTGAAAACGTCACAACAAAGCAAGGAGAAAATAATTACAGAGTGGGAAGAAAAAAAGTGCATCTAAAAACTGAAAAAATATGTAATATGTAATGTGAAATATTTTATCTATCAAATGAATTCATACCTTTGGAGGAAGATCGATTCTGTTGAAATGCAGAGGAAATCTAGGAAAGCGTTGCACCATATTCTTCTTAGTTCTTGATTTTGCTCTATCTAATGCAGAATAGTTAAATGTTTCACTGGTCAAGTAAACAACCTGCACATCAAGTAAGAAAATACTTAATAAATCACAAAAAGTTAAAGGAACATTAGAATACAGATTGGAATTTAAAAAATTAAATATAAAATATTACCTAATATGTTAAAGTTTTAGAATTATTATTTCAAATACTGAAGGTATCTTGAATTTTGTAATTACCTCAGAGTACCAAGTTAGATAATTAAATTAATAAGCTATTTTACAGTGGGCAGATGATGAGCAAGCAACTCATTTCACTTGTATACTTTTGCAGGCAAACTCTGCAATTATTAAGAGCATTATGGTATTCATAGTAATGCAGGCAAGCACTACACTTTCTTAACAATATGCATTTATGCAGTTATGTCAGTGTTAACACAACACCAACATAACTGCCCTCTAGTGGCCGAATATGCGGATTGCATCTGCAATATCATTCTACAAATAAATATGCCAATCACAATTTTCCAAATAATGCCAGATTTCTTCCAAAGTAGCCATATACTAATGTTTATGCAATAAATTGTATGCCCACTAAGAAATTTTTCAATGTTTCCCTTAGCAAAAATTTCTCTCACTGTTATGTTTATTTTACCAATTATTCGGGATTCCAATTTTACATGTCCTAAGTGCTAGTAAGTACAGAAATAAACAGCCTTTATCTTATTTTATTCAAACATTTTTCTGATTCATATAAAATAAAAATTTTAACTTCACTTAAAGTTGCAAATACCTTCCATAAATAGTCATTTGATTTTTAATGAATCCAAAATACTGCTCTAAAATTAATATCTATATATAAATAAAAGATACTAGTGCAGTAGACCACACAAAGATAAGAAATTCATGTGTGCCATCCCCCCAACAGGTCACTGTGTTTGAGCTGTTACAAGGTGTGAGATAACAGGCTCTGACATTGCAGAAGCAATAACTCATTCAGTTATGAAACTACGTCACATTACAAAAATCATAACCTCACAGCCAGTGTCAAGGGATCTTTAGTGATCTGTGTTGTGTCTGGCACCAAAGCCTCATGATTACGGAATGGGCCAACGAACCAATGATACTATTGCTCCTCTTATATGGTTCCAGCTATAATGAATCAGAAGACTTTTAAAACCAAAAAATTAAGAGTGTGTGAATAATTCAGTCTACAAACTGTTCTAGACAAGGCAAGAACTCAGAATGCTCTTAAACTCTCAACTAGAGACTGTTGCTGCTAGCAAGATCCTCACATTATGAGGACAATAACTGTTTCTATGCGTCTTTTCTTGTTGACAGTATTATGAACAGAACTTCTCATAGATTTATATTAAATATATCTTAGTTATATATGCAGTAAGTAATGCATAACCTTAACAAATGTGCACCAGTTACCACATGGAGTAACACTGTCAGCAATATTTAGAATATTCTGATTTATAAAAATATGCCCCACTAAAAAAATAATCAAGATATGTTCTTTAAAAGCATATTTAATTTCTATCAAAAATATGCATTGGAAAGTGATCTAAATCAGTATTCTTTTTTTTTTTCATCATGTATATTAACCATACAGTTACAGAATTTTTGCTTTCAGCTTACTATAGGTTATTGAAAATTATCTCTTGTGGCTAAGTGCTTAGCTACAATTTGACAGCAAAGAAAATTCTAGAATAACTCTTAAAGATTTAGAATTCAGAATGCCTTTCTATGGTATTTTCTCCCTCCTGTCAGCATGCCTTTATAGTGTAACTGGAAGCATGTCTGATGTGAAATTGGGAGGTTAGGAGTTCGAATCCTGGTGAGGGCACTGCTCAGCTTTCACGTCTCCTGCATCGATACAGTAATGACTCTACAGAAGCTGCTCACACATTTTTTAGACGATTTTCATTGTATTTACAGAACTATTTCCCCTAAAATTTTTGTGTTTTAAATGTTCTATCTGATAAACTTTATTCTTTGTTATCCATCTATACTGTAATTTCTAAGGCAATAAAAATAAAGCCTTTTGTTGCATTGGATGAGATATTTCATCCAATTCCTTGTAAACTGTTTTCCAAAGTCCAAGGAGGGTTGTAAGTTGATGTTTGGACAATATGCTTTTTAACTCTTTCTCATCGAGAGAGGGCAAAATCTCAATTCCCCAAACATCAAAAACGCCCGTATCTAAGAATTTCTCCTGGAATGCTTTTCCTTCCCCCATGACAAGTTGAATATTACAGCGCTAACAATAGCCTTACTTAAGTAAAATGAGAACTTCTTTCTTTGACGCTTTGACACTGTGTGAAGTTCCCCCTTGGGACAGGATTGATACTTCGGGCATCAAAAGCTGAACATTGACAGTAAACAAAGGAAAGGAAGGAACAAAGGAAACAAGGAAGCTACTTTTAGTAGCTTCAAAAGAATGATTGACATGTGATTTAACAACACCTGAAAGCAATGAGTAATGCAGTAACGCGATGGGGGAAAGCACTGTGTAGGAAATTATTCAGGCGTTTCGGGCGTCCAGCCGATGTCTGAATGCTCGGGTGTTTGGGGTGACTTTGATGCAAAAGATTTAAAAGTCCAAAAGTGCAAAAATCCACAGAAGATTTAGTAGGGATAAGAATGAAGAGTATGGTCTTGATACCCATTTCTTATTCCATTTTTTCAGGAAATTAACAATGGGTTTTGAAACATGGCTGCTTTTTTGTCTTGATGCAGTTCTACTGATTGATCACACTGTGGGTAAACAGAAGGTACTTGATATTTGAAAATTGGGTATAAAATATGTTCCTGATAATATGTGCAGTTGATCTTAACATTCTTCTCCACTCTCTTAGATTTAATTTGCCATTAAATGAAAAACCAGCAGCAATCATAAATCCCTTTGAAAATCATTCTTTAGATTCTTTGAACCATGTTCTAAGGTTTTATCTTATCTGGATGATAATAAATGGATCATTTTTATTGCAGTCATTTAAATACACCCAAAATTCATAAGTTGTGACATCATTTTTCAATTTTTTTCCCTGGATAAATGTTTTTCTTAAAGAATTTCTTTGGCGTGTTCTGCATTTGGCGAAATGTCATGGAGAAAGACGATTTACATTGTGTTTTTTTTACTTTTTAAGATTCAAATCAGCATTAATCACTTTGTTTACAGTTTATACTGAGAATTTTAATGACTTAGCAACTGTCCTTGAGTTCTTGGAATTTCGTTTAACACTAAAGTTCTTACCTCTGCAACGTTCGAAACATTCCATTTCTTCATTGGAATTATACCTGGAACAATTTTTTAACTTGAAGCCAGGCTCTGACATTTTTCTTCTTTTCTTGTTGACAGTATTATCTACTTTAGATATCAAAAAATTCTGGCTTTCACAGCATTTTTTTAATAACTTGATATGAATAATTTTCTTTGGAAAGAGCACAAATGTAGGTTTCATTTCATCCATGTTTGATTTTGGGAACTTGTAACATATTGTGTATTGCAATATTTGTGAAAAAAATAGTAAAACAAACCTAGATTTTTAAAATGGAAAGGATTGACTAAGCGGAAAAGTGATGATTCAGGGGTGATGGATCCAGGACAATCTAGTAGCATTAAGAATATTGAAAAGAAAAATTGTTTATAAAAAATACAATGAAAGTTATTTATCATTTGGGTTTACTTGGAATGGAGATGAAATGGACCATCAATCTCAATATGCTGTTTGCTGTGAACTATTTATTATCCGATCAAGTATGAAACCGCCGTTTCTTAAAAGACACCTTGAATTTAAGCATGGCAATATAAGGCTAAATCTGAAGAGTATTTTAATGGGAAATTATCTAAGTTCAAAAATAGTAAACAAGTAGTAATGAAAGATTTTGTTACTTTAAGTGAAAACGCTTTGGGGGCTAGTATGCCTAAGAATTGAAAAGACTGGGCATGCTCACACTATTGGAGAAAACCTCATATTACCAGCAGCTAAAGATATTGTTTTAACATTATGGAAAGAAAAAGCGGCTAATGAACTTAATAATATTCCATTATCAAATGATACAGTAAGTGGACGAATTCATGAAATGGCAAATTCCATAAAAAAGAGACACTTATCAAGAAATAAAACACAGTATTTCACATTGCAAATGAATGAAAATACTGATATAATGAACTTTGTTCAATTATTAGTTTACATATGTTTCAAAGAAGATAAGCAAATTTCCGAAGAGTATTTATGTTGTGAATCTCTCCATAATCTGATAAAGCAACTGCAAATAACATTTTCAAAGTAATTGACAATTTTGTCTGAGAATAATATTCTTTGGAATAAGTGCATTGCCGGATCCAGTGATGGAGCTCGGGCTTTAACAGGAAAACATTCCAGTGTTATTTCTACTTTTTTATGTCTATTCATCGTGAAGATTTAGTAGCCAAAACAATATGAGAAAACCTGAAAAATGTTTTGAATCAAGTTGTGAAAATTGTTAATTTTATTAAAAGCCAGGCTTTAAATTAAAAAATATTTATAATTTTATGCCAAGAGAGGGGAAGTGAACATGAAATGCTTTTGTTGCATTCTGAAGTAATGCAGTTATCCAGAGGCAAAGTTTTAAATCACTTTTGAATTTCGATCAGGAGTTCAAATTTTCTTCTGTGATTTAAAATTTGAATTGCAAAATTTTTATTTAGTGAATTATGGTTGGCACATTTAGCCGATATTTTTGGAAAGTTAAATTAATTAAATTTGGGATTACAAGCAGAAAGTGTTAATTTGTTTACTATTACAGATAAAATAAATACAATGATATAAATACTCGAGCTAATAATCAAAGAACTGGATAATAATATTTTAAGCTTTTTATCACTTTTAAAAAGTTGCCTAACCGAAGAAATTGATCTCTCTTCAACAAGCCCAAATTTTGTACTATATTTTAGAATTAATGTATTATAACTTAAATTTTGATAATAAAAATGGTAACCAATTTTTAATCTAACATTTTTATGTGTGCATATTTAATACAAATAAACAATAAGTTGTGCAAATGACATATATATATATATATATATT